CTATTTTAATGACTTAATTGTGGGGGTTGATTTTACCTATAAAAGGAGGTATATTTCCCATTGTTTTACACAACAAAATCAAATATAATATACTCTCTAGTCTTTTCATACTACTCTCTAATCATTTTATATTATCCTCTATTCTTCTTCTATAAAATTTTGGCAATTGTTAAAGGCTCGTTTAATTTTCTCCCTATGGTCGTGCCCATAGAAGGAGAGACACATGTGTTTTATCTTGGAGCCATGTAGTGCCGAAAGAACCCGCACGAAGGGGAGGCAACGCGACTTTAGGACAGCGTTCTCGACGTGACTCCCAATGCTTGATTTTCTAACCTTCTTCTTGTTTTATATTATTGTTGAATTTACGTTTATGTCATTTAATTGATTATGCTATTCTAAATAAATCTACATACAAATCACCCAATTTTTTCAATAATCTAAAGTCGTGTTTGTGATTTGTATGTAGACAATTCTTTTTATGTGATATTTGTGTAAATTATTAGTTTTATGATCTCAAACAGTAACATTGAAAATTCTCAAAGTGGCATTATCTTGCAACAAGTATGGACTAGAACATCCTTACAAACTTATATCTTTGTAAATGAAAATTTGTCAATCTTCGCGAAGGGCAGATGGTGTCATGATAGCACCAAGAAATTATTTAAAAACTGCATTGCTGATTTGGAGGAATTATACAAGGTAAATCAATGATGCATGCAATTGAAGCCAAGTATATCAGTAGAGGATTTTTTTTTTAAACATTCATGCGATTTGAATTTTGTTTAATTTGTCATTTTCCTTAGCATTATACTAAATCTTCCACTTGTGTTAAATATCTTTTATTAGCTTTGACATTTCATTATATTGTTATAAACACAAAGAATATTGGGTGGTGAAAGTGTGTTTTTAAAATGTGGAGGGATGATTTCATTCTTCGATTTCACATGAAACAAATCAATGTTTTGTCTGGAGCAGATCAGATTGTGGAAATCATTTTATTGATTAATAAATAAGATGGAGCAAACAATTAATTCTTCGCAATATATGAGGTAAAGTCAAGTGATTTTTTATATAGTCATTAAAATTACTTGATGACCACAATTATGTTAGAACATAATTGTTATTCATTTCCAATTTTATTTGTTTAATTTTGTCCTATTGGTAATAAAAGCTATGGGTAAATGTTTCATAAAGAAGAAACATGCACTACCCAATATGGTATATTGGGCAAATTGGGTTAACGATAGATAGGAGTATCTAAGATTCATGAAAATGTGCTGATTTAACATTTTAAAAGATGTTAATTTCATAATTAATATCCATAATTTTATTTATAGTTCCAGTGTAACTCCAGTGAGGAATGATGGTTTATTATTATTCAATTTAGACATGTAACTCATATTTTCATATTAAATAAAATATAATAATAATATCATGTAGTATGACCAATCTTAATTCAAGTGTTGAAACCTTTAATCTTAATAATTTACTCAACAATTAACCCATTTAATTTTCAGTTTATATATATTTAATAATCATTTTTCACACAATTAAAACATCATAATTCATGTTATTACCTCTATTTTAATGACTTAATTGTGGGGGTTGATTTTACCTATAAAAGGAGGTATATTTCCCATTGTTTTACACAACAAAATCAAATATAATATACTCTCTAGTCTTTTCATACTACTCTCTAATCATTTTATATTATCCTCTATTCTTCTTCTATAAAATTTTGGCAATTGTTAAAGGCTCGTTTAATTTTCTCCCTATGGTCGTGCCCATAGAAGGAGAGACACATGTGTTTTATCTTGGAGCCATGTAGTGCCGAAAGAACCCGCACGAAGGGGAGGCAACGCGACTTTAGGACAGCGTTCTCGACGTGACTCCCAAGCGCGTAATTTGTTCTATAAAATGTTTATTACTCTTAGCAAGTACGATTTTCAGTATGAAATTGAAAATGCACGTGACAAGATTCTTATTCCTAAGATTCGTTATAATCTATTATGCCTAAGTCCCCAACTAGTCTGGGTAGTTTTAGTAAGTAAAGTGTTTGGTGATCAATGCATGTTAGACCATTAAATTTCCTTAGCAAATATTCATATTTCTCCTCTGACATAATTACTATGACTAAAAATCACATCTATGAAATTCTTGCCTTGTGAGTTTAGAAAATATTGGTGATTACATGAGTTTACAGCCATGAAGACTTCTTTTGCAGTTTCCGATGGGAGAAACTTTATCAATTCATTCTTCTATTACGAATGAAGTAAGAGAATAAGATCATATATTTACTCAATACAGATTAAAATATCTTTGAAATGTGAGGGCATTAATTTATTTAAAAAGTTTACTGTTCTTTGATCAATGCTCAAAGAGAAGTTGGATGAATGTCGAAATGTCATACTTTTATCTCAGCTATTCTTATTTATTGTGACGCTAATAATTTGTGAAAGTACTTAGAAGTGTTTGCAGACATGGAAAAATTCAAAGAAAATCGACATGGTGGATGTCTTTGGAATGTGGAGGTTTTTAATATAGATACATCTTAAATCTTAATTTTCCTGGTTATAAACTGACTTTTGAAAAGTGTTACAAGAGTTTAAGACATGCAGGTGAAATACAAGAGTTTAATGGATATATCTGCTCCAACGTACTACTAAAATCAATATTAAAATTTCGTACATTTATCTTATTAAACTTATATATGTGATATTGATATTTTGAAAAAATTCTTAGATGACTTTGCGGATATGCAAATGGGCAGGTGAAGAAGAAAAGCTTTACAAATTAATAGTACCAATTTATTGTCCAAGAAGGACATGAATATATGTAGTCCGAGATGGACATACATAAATTATCGAGGGGAATGAGTTTAAGCCCATAAGGGAGTCACCTCCGGGAGTAACCTAACTTTTGTGATTGGAGATCCCATGAAGAAGGTTCAATGTGGTAGAAACAACTCGTACTGCATGACTTGTAATAGCACTACTTATATTGTGCTCATCCCTATGGTGATAGTGCTAATAATAATGTGATGTTAGGAAGGGTTTAACCCTGAATGAGTACCGAGGCGAGAATTCTCGCAAGGTGTGGGTCACACACACCCTTGGAGGACTTACCTATGTAAGAGTTGCCATAAGACCGTGGCTATGGGATTGGGTTATTCTCTAGAGACTCTTATTAGAATCAAGATTAGAGTGCATGGCCATTAAAAGTGCTACTCGCTATGACGGAGAGCCTAAATCGATACTGTGTGTGGAACAATTGAAATTTGATCAAAGGGACCTAATTCAAGGCTTAGTCCATTATGGTTCCCTTAAATGGAAATTGTTATCACTAAGTGAGGTTCAAGTCCAAAAGACATCTACACCTATTGCATAGTATTATGTTGCCACTATTATATATTTTTTAATTATTTTGAAAGTTTAAAACTTGTGGGGGATTGTTGTAACTTCAAATTAAGTTTTAACCTTTCAACAATTAACCCATTTAATTTTCAGTTTATATATATTTAATAATCATTTTTCGCACAATTAAAACATCATAATTCATATTATAACCTCTATTTTAATGACTTAATTGTGAGGGTTGATTTTACCTATAAAAGGAGGTGGATTTATCATTGTTTTACACAACAAAATCAAATACAATATACTCTCTGGTCTTTTCATACATCTCCCTTTTTCATACTATTCTCTAGTCATTTTATATTATCTTCTATTCTTCTTCTATCAAATTTAGGCAATTGATAAAGGCTCGTTCAATTTTCTCCCTATAGTCGTGCCCATAGAAGGAGAGTCATATGAATTTTATTTTGGAGCCGTATAGTGCCGAAAGAACCAGCACGAAGGGGAGGCAACACGACTTTAGGACAACGTTCTCGACGTGACTCTCAAGGCTTGATTTTCTAACCGTCTTCTTGTTTTATATTATTGTTGAATTTACGTTTATATCATTTAATTGATTATGCTAATTTCTAAATAAATCTAAATAAAAATCACCCAATTTTCCCAACATTATATATATTCTCTCTAATTCCTGATTCCCTACAAGGGTTATCTGCTTCACCCCTATTCCCGTGTTCTATGTTATTTTGTCTGTTAATGTTTAGTGTTGCTGTGTGTAGTTGTTTTTATTCAGAGAAGGCACCTCTTTTATTGTTGATGACTGTCAGCATTAGGATATTAACATTAGAATATTTCACATTTTAAATTGCATTGATGCTTCTGGTTAAGGTGTAATGATCACTATCAGGTTAAGTTATAGTATCTCAATGTTACATTGCTAATAAGGTTAAATTGCATTGAGATGCTGTCTTCTTCATAGTAATCTGGCAAAATAGCTGGAATTCCAATGTGTTTAGAATTTTTAGATTACGTACTTCAGACATCTTCTGCAGCAATAAAAATTGGAGTAATATTTACTTGAACAAGTAAACGGTTGCAGAGTAATCTAAACCCTAGTGTAAGTCGTACCTATTAAATGCAGTGACCAAATTTGTCATCATTTTATAAAACATCAGGAACAACAGTCCCAAAATCTAACGTTGAGAGAGAGCATAAGTGGTATCGAGACTGAGTTTGTTACAACCCACATTTTTATCTAGTCTTGATAGTGCAATTTTCAAAGTTAAGTTAAATGAGGACTTGTATGAAATAAATCATTTTTATTGGGACTCGATTGACCAAATTATTTTATTTGGGTTTATCTTATAAATTATAAATATTTTGAAGGTTAAATTGGATACATTTTTAAGTTGGGAACTTACTTATATAATTTTGGAAGTGTTAGGATCAAATGTGATATGAAAAAGAGAGTTGAAGGACTTAGTTTGCAATTATGGGTTAGTTGACCATTTAATTCAACCATTTGACGCATTCTCTCTCAATTTCACACCAAAACACACACACAGAGTAACGAGAGAAGCAGAGACCGGCAGTGAAGGGAGAAAAAGGGAAAGAAGAAGGGAGAAAAAGGGAAAGATTAAAGGAAAAAGAAAAAGGAAAAGGAAAAGAAGAAAGGAAAAAGAAGAAGAAAAGAGGTGAGGTTAATCTCTTCAAGTTGGGTTTAATTTTTCCACTTTGTTTTCGAGTGATTAAGTATGATTTATATTAAATTTTTAGGGTTTTAACTTGTAGAATAAAATGTCGAATTTTAGGTGATATTTGTACGAATTGGAGCTCAAGTTTGGGGATTTCTTCATTTCCAATTTTAGCTAGGTAAGGGATATTATTTTAGCAAACCCTAGAAATTTTATTTGGGGTTAAGTATGTTTATGGAAATGATGATATTGAGAAAATAATTATTTGGAAGCATGAAATTATAGAACAAGAGGAAAATTTTAATTAGTTGAATTATAGCAACTTCTTGTCACTTGAATTATGTGGATGTCACAGTGATGTTTGGAAGTGAAGTTTATGTTGCTAAATTAGTTATTAGTCAATGGATTATAAAGTGTGATTAGCTCCAATTAATAAAGGAAAATTTGAGAACTTATTCAAGTGTCCAGAAAATTTAATTTTAAGTTCTATCATTAGATATTAAGGTTTGTTGATTAGATAGATGATAAATTGGTTATTAATATCGTATTTCAGGTGGTGGCGGGGAAATTGGAAACGTTTATCAGCCAATCTAGCTTGTAGCTCATACCTTGTGAGTGGATAAAACTTATTTTTTAGAAAAAAGTCTTCTTTAAATTTTAAAGTTATTTATTTTATAAAGTTGACTTCGTAGCATGATTTTCAGAATAAAATGGATTTTATTATCAATTGCTTTTAAAGTTAAATTCAGTTCAGTTAAATTATTTTGAAAGCATGTTATATTCTTCTTACGTGTTTCAGTATAGTTGAAGTTATTCCTAAAAATCACCAGAAAGTACCCAGGTGATTTTACCCCAGTTTGCGCTGATGTGAATGTGTTTCCACAGTATATGACTAGTTATAGTGATTTTACCCGCTTTGCACTATCGTGAATGTGTTTCCATAGTATATGACCAGATGATCAGAGGTCTTTGGGACCCACTCTTGTACACACATAGGCTTTGGGCCGTGTACTAGAGTGATTAGCCTTTGGGGCAGCTCTGCATACGTATGACCAGATTATCAGATTTGAATGGCTTTGCCTTGTACATCAAGATTACTATGTACATGAATAAGGCTATTCATTGGGTACTCTTTTTGGTGTGATTTTTCAGTATTTATTCAGTTCTCAGATTTCAGATTATGGAAGTCAGTTAATTCAGTTTTCAGAAGAAAGCTTTTAGCTTATACTATTGAGCAGCAGCAATATTTCACAGATTTTCATGAATATCAAATTCTTTATATTTGTTATATCTCACAGATACTTATCTAGAATTTAGAATAAAGAATTTTATAATGTAATCATGTCTAGTTTTTGAAAGTATTACTAGATTCAGAATTTCTTAAGGATTTAATAAAATTGGAATTTTTAGAAAATATGCATAAATGCAAAAAGGTTTACTTATTTGGAAATCATCCACTCACTGAGTTATAAACTCATATATTTTTATCATGCTTTTCTATCAGGAGACCGTCGATTTTGAGATACTGGGAAAAGCCCGCTGAAGCGAAAGAGACCGTTTCATAGTATGTAATGTATAGTTGGGGAACTCATGTTAATTAAGTGCTTGTCTAATATTTGGTGTGTCATGCACTTCGTAGAAAGGTTGGTAATTGATGTAATGCTTGCATGTTGACATGATGATGTTGTAGAAGCACTCAGTCGAATTTTGTTATATTTTGTTGTAGTTGTGGTGGTATTAGAGGAAGTGGTGGTTTCCAAAACTTTTGGTTTAAATGTCTATTTGAGGTTTTGATGATTTTTCAGGTTAGTTTTGTCCATGTTACAGGGGAAATTCTGTCAAAAATTTTATAGAATTATGTCATGGTCAAGTAGGTCACGTTTGCCTTGGTGGCGGGTCCGACATTTAGCTGGCATTTACCATTGGCACACGACACGTGTCGAGTCAATTAGGTTAAATCGGGACGGGTTGTTTTAGAGTTAGCCTTTTGTAACATCCATTTACAGTCAGCCTGATAAAATTGAAAATTGTAGTCCATGGGAGAAAATATCTATATCATTGCACATATGAACAAGTAAATAAAGTAGTAAATTCATTAGCAAACTTAGAGTGTGTTTGTTTACCATTATACCACATTATTTTTTCTATAATATTCATTTTCAACCACACATTATTCATTAAAATAATATTACACGTAAATAAAAATTTTTTTCTTTTTTAACTACACATTTCAACATCAATCACTATTCTATAATACATTATTAACAAATAATGGGGCACAAACACCCCCTTATATTAAATACATCACTGTTTACGTTTTTTTTTTTTTTTCATTTTACTATTATGCCCTACCGTTTCTCCGCATTTGTTAAATTATTTATTGTATTTAGGTTGACTATTAGAATTTATTTCATGGTATAAATTGAGGAAGTGAACATGGTAGTTAACTAATGGCACTAAACCAAATGTGTTCTAAATAACCTAACTTAAGAATATTCATTCTAGTAGCTTGCTTCTTATTTTATTTATTTTTATTATTATTATTTTTAATACCTGTTTTGGTTAAGAGTGCTCCCCCCCCCCTCCAAAAAAATAAAAATTACTAACTACATATTCTCTTTTGTATGATCTATGTGAATACAGTGATTTTTACATGATGGATAGGAGTTGGATACGACTTCGTAATAGATTAAGTAATGAATATTTAGATGGCATTAATTCATTTATGGAGGCAACAAAACGATGTCTGGACGAGAACATGAGGTTCCCTGTCCATGTCGAAATTGTCAAAATGCATTCTTTCAATCACTAGATGTGGTAGAATATCATTTATACCATCATGGAATCTCTGCAAGTTACGAGAGATGGATTTTCGATGGAGAGGAGCTTGAGAATGATATAGAAGGTGGTGAAAGAAACACATTTGAATTGGATGAAGAAGAAAATGATGATGAGATGAATGATACGTTACAAGATATATGTGCTCCCATGTCATGTGAAGGTAACCAAGCTCAAGAGGGAGAAGAACAAGGCAGGAATTATAATTTCTCACCTCAAATGCCTAATGAATAGAGCAACCCTTTGTCGGGATGATGGATGAAGCCCAATGTTTCCTAGTTCTAACTCTTCATTATTGTACGCATTAGCATGTAAACTGGATTTTAGAGTATTTTCCTATTCAAGTTGTATTGCTAATGGGGTACGACTCCTTGTTAAAGATCAAAATAATTGTCGTACAACAAAAAAATAGTGGAGCGACGGTGTTAGGAGATGAAAACATCAACTTTTTTGGTGTGCTCTCTAATGTTATTGAGTTGATAAATGTTTTTTATGATGCGTCACTTTGTTCCAGTGTAATTGGTACAATAATAATCCAAAGCAAACAAGAACTATCAGAGGTTACCATCTTACTTCTATCAATGTGAATCATAAATAGTACATGGATGATTCTTATATACTTGACATCCAAGCAAAATAAGTATTTTATGTGGATGATCTGGTGTTGGGTCCACAATGGGCGGTAGTGCAAAGGCGTAACGTAGAAGGTATATGGGACATTCCTAAAAAAGATTAGTGAGCACTTGATGCAACTTGGAAAGTCCATTCAAGGCATAAAAGAAATTAACATCGATTATGATTATCTGATTTGAATTTTCTATTACCTCATTTGATTCATTTTTGGTTAAATTGATTTTGTAAAAAGAAATGTCCAACTTTCCTTAGTAGTCCTAATTTCTTTTATTAGTCGTGTTTTTAGCCTATATAAAGAGGTACATTGATTGTAATAAGATATACTTGAACATCGAATAAAAATTACAATACTTCCCTCATTTCTCTCTTTCTAATCTCTTCTTCTTCTTCTTCTTCTTCTTCTTCTTCTTCTTCGTTGCATTCGTCATCAATTTAGTATCAAAGCTCAATCATTTCCTTTGAAGAACCAATCCAATTTCCATCCCTCGATCAGCCACTCCCACCTTCCATCCCTCGATCAGCCGCTCCCACCTTCAACTACACAAACAATTTGTCCCTCAAGTTGCAAACCATATATACACTCCATCAACCACAATAAACCACTATCAAATTGTACCACCAGCATTACTCAGATAGCCCTAATTTCAACCTTCTGAACAACAGCAGAAAAAGAGGTTACTATTGCCCATCAATTTACCACATTTCCAGCCCACCCCAACAAAAAGCACAAAAGCCCACTCAATCCTCATCGTCCGAAAAACCATTATCCAACCTCATAGCCGCTTTAGTCAACCATATACATCATCATCGACCTCCAAACTCACGATGACTCCACCTTCTAGTTCAGAATCCTAATTAAATTCTCCCTAGCATAGAACTAGTGAGCAATGAAAAGAGAAAAAGATCAAAAATCATCTCCCTAACATAGAACTAGAGAGCAGTAAAAGAAGAAAAGATATTCTGTCCAGCATAGAACTAGAAAGCAACAAAAAAAAGAAGAGATAAATTCAATATGAAATCTATTGAAGATTGGAGAAATATCCAATGAACTAAAAGCTCTACAAAGTCTTGTATTTATAGAGAAGAAGAGTAACAACTAACTAACCAACCTAACTACCATAACTAACTAACTAATTTGACAACTGGAAGAATCTGAAATCTTAGCTGAGCTGGAGACAACTGGAAGTTGGATTCTGGTTAACTGAGTTGGAAGGAATCTGGTGTATATTCTTACAATTCTCACCCACACGTAGTCACCCGGCTTCTTCCTCTCCCTTGATGCTATGTGAATTCCTGCCACTTCTCAGTCTCCCACAGCCTACAACATCAACACCTCTGCAAGCGTTATCCTCTCCTACGAGTTATTTAACATCATTGTTGCCTACCCAACTGTAGCGATTCGGTCTCTTCTATTGAGATCGAACTCCCGTGTCTCTGCCTTGTTCTGTCAATTGCTGGTTCGTCCTTCCATTTTCAGTCAGCCACCGGCCGGTGCACCACTACTTGTAGTCTTACCACCTACTTTTGAGTTTTTTCCAATGCCCTTCATCATTCCCCATCGTCAACTTGGTTTCTATTGCTGCCACTGCCTTCTTGCATCTGTTCTTTTGCTCCCATCATATAGCTTGTACCTCTACCTTAGTTTGTTTCCATCTACTGTCGACAATAGCCAGAAGATTCAGTTTTATCCATTTTCGAAGTGCTATCACCCTCTCTGCTGCCTGTCTTCTTCATTGTTAAACGACATCCTTCGGGTTAGCTTCGTGTTGTGGTAAGGGTCTCTTTCTGCTTATTCACTACGATACTTATATTTGTTTGCTTTGGCTCTTAAGTTGTTGAAGCTTAGTTCTGATTTAAAAAAGTAAAAATAAGAAAAATAAAAATAAATAAAAAATGAAATAACATAAAAAATCAAACTATAGAGATAATACATAGCTCTCCTAATTGACCTAAATGCACTACATTATTCACGCTAAAAGAATAATGAATCTTAATGATCTAAACCAATCTCGTATTGCTCTCACATTAGGTCATGAATCTTTCGACTAATTTGACATTAGTGAAGTCAGATCTGGCGGAGCTTAAAACTTGTCCAAAACCTTATTGAACAAATTGGGCAATCATCTCGAAAACTGGGTAAACGACCTATGGTTGGTTTATCTGATTCCTCTATGTAGGTCAAAATGTCCATATCCTACTTTATCGTCCACCAGAAGGCATACTAACTAATCCACACAATCTTGGTTCTACACAACGCATTCTCTATCCCGAACTTCATGACCTAGTTTTCAATAATGGTCCTCATCTTGAACTCCCATACCCACCTCCATCCACATGATGAACAATATAAGGACCATGTAGATGACATTACTAGGAAAGTTAAAGTAGACGTCTTTGAATTTTATGGTCACCTGGAACTCGAGGCCTTTCTTGACTGGCACGATGCCATTGAAGAATACTTCAATTGGTACCAAATGCCTGTTTATCAGCGTATTTGTTTCGACAAAATGAAACTTGTCAAATCTACTAAATGCTATTGGCAAACGGTGACACAATCCTTCGACTGCTTAGGCCAGCATATTACTACGTGGGGAGAAATGAAATTGAAACTCACTGAGAAATACGTCCCCGTCTTACCGTCGATCTCAACTCTTAGAATGTCTTCTTAATCGTAGACAAAACTCATCGACTATGTCAAACCACAAGACTCGTTTTGACGAATTGCGGTGTCGTTCAGGCCTTGCTAGACCCGAGGATGTCACGATTACTAGGTTCCTTAACGGCTTGTGATTCGTATTCAAACATTATGTCTTTGTGCTTAATCTCAACTCATTAGAAGATGCTTTTGACAAAGCACTTGAACACAAACGATACTCTTGTTCATCATATTTGTGGCGTGGCCCTACCACCTTACTTGACCTCTCGACCCCCTTTGACTAGTACTCCTACAAGTAGCCCTACGTCAAGCCAAACCCACTCAGCTGTTGGATCTTCCTCTATTCATATTCCTCGTGACACCTCTAGGGGTCAACTTGCTTTTCAGCCACCACTCGAGGTCCTAACTCTCAAATTGTATGTCATAGCTATCATGCTCGAGGTTATATCACCTCTTAATGTCCCAATCGTAGCCTCATCTTTTCACAGGAACCCTACTTCTAACCTTAGAGAATGAGTGTTTCACGATTGACCCTATTGACCATTATGATGAGGATCTTAACCAATTTGAGTGTTTTGAGGAGGATGCGGCTATTGTATCCAATGTATCATTTCCACACCTATCAATTTTAACTCTTGGAAACAAACTTCTATTTTCCATACATTCATCCTATGCAA